ATTGTCAATCATGAGACTGCTGAATTATTGGAGAATAAACCAAAGAAGACTTTAGAAGAGATGCGCTCTTTAGACCGACATCATATTGTGGATTGCTATGGTATTTCATCTGAATTACTAACCGAAGACTTCATCTCAAAATATGGGAATTTCAATCACATGAAATGGTTTAGAGCTTATAGGCAACTACGAGATGCTAGTATTAGTAATGAAACAGCAGTTGAGGCTATTTCCTGTAAAGATTATAGAGAAGATAGGCTTACAACTGCATCCCGAGCTGAGAGGCATCGAATTTGCCTCGAATTATTAAGAGTTTGCACACCAGCTAGGGATATTGATGACAGAATACGATATAAATCTGATGATGTTAAGATGCGTCTGAATTCTTCTGAGTCATTATCATATCTCCATGATTTAGTTCCCAAAATGTCTCGGGTATTTGATAATACGGATGCATTGCATAGAGCTAAAAAATCGGGATTGAAAACAGATCGAGCGAAACTCGGCTTACTAAATTCAGCACTGCATGCAACATATGGGTTAAAATTTAAAGCTATAGATAAGGGATGTAGGCATTACCATCTAGTTGGATCTTTTGATAGTAAAGACGCTCCAAAACTTCCTTTATACCAAACAGGAGAAGAAATATACTGGGAAAATGGTAAAGATGCCCGATATGCTTATAGTAAGCTTACTTCTGATGAATTATTATTAGGTAATCTTTCTAGTTCTAATAAAGTGAATACCGCGCAAATCACAGAAGATATTCAGGACATATTTGATATATGTTAATACTATCCGATTATAAATCTGGTAGGTGAAGCCTTCTTTCATATTATTAAAAAATTTCTCCATCATTGTGACACTCCGGCCAGGGTACATACTTTTGAGATGTAGGCTTCTGCCAATAATATTTATAATAATTCCGCAGAAGCCTACACATTTTTTTTATACTGGTTTTAATGATATTTTTAGCCACTCCTCGACAGACAATTCAGAAGTCTTTGCGAGTTGAAGAGCCTCAGCCTTACGTTTTTGCCTCATTCGATAATTGTGCGAATGAATACTAGCAGAGTGGTCATGGCAATACCCCGAATCAGCATCAGTAGGAAATTCACAACCACTAAAAAGACAGGGTCTTTTTTTCGAATTCTTTTCATACAATTTCCAGTGCCTATAACATCCTTCAGGAAGCCAGCATTTATTTCCACAAATAGTGCCATCCCTTTTGATATATGCGCAAGTAAGATGAGCCATGGAAGTATTTTAGGATATAAAACCCTCTTTCACTTTTAATTTTATAATAAAACATGTATTTAAATTAATTGATATTATAAT